GTTCACAAATAACTGCTCATTCATAACTTCAGGCTGTTGTCACAGCCCTTGTCTGTTATTCCAGCATGTTAATGATGAGAAGGCAGAGTTTGGTTTTAAGAGAGACGTTGATCTCAGAGGAAGAACTGTCTACACGAGGAGACAGTAGTTTTTCATGCATTTTAAGGTCACTAAAATATATTATTGCCCATCAATGGGAATTTTCTAAGAACTATAACCTAATTTTTAAGCTTTGGACTCATTTCAGTATTGGGAATTCAGTACTTCTTAGATCAAATTCAACTAAGGTTATCCTCTCTAGATCATATGTAGCAATAACTTTATTATTCCTTCCATTTGTGGGGGGGTTTTCTTCTTATGGAATTATTTATTTCCCTTTCTGGGCTCCCCAGGTGGCTCAGTGGTAAAAAACCTGCTTGGCAGTGCAGGAGACCTAGGTTCAATCCCTGGGTTGGACGATCCCTTGGAGAAGAAAACGGCAGCCCACTCCAGTGTTCTTGCCTGGATAATCCCATGGACAGAGGAGTCTGGCGGGCTACAGCCCATGGAGTTGCACAGTCAGACACTACTTAGTGACTGAGCACACAGCACATCTCCCTATCCATTGGCTTCATCTCGTTTTCACTTCTGTTTTGACAGCTTATGACTATGCCATTGAAGTTGTTCTTTCCTTCTAATAAACTCCTATCATTAAGTTGCTAGCTGAGAAAGGCCAAAAAAAGAAAGAAAAATAGGTGAGTGACTTAACTCTGATTCAACTTTAGAAGGAGGGGAAAAAAAAAAAAGAAGAAAATCACAGACTGAGGACATGTCTTTACAGAAGATGGATGATCTGGTAAAGGAATTGCCTGCTTGGACGTCTGTCAGGGCTTTCTGGAAGAAGGGTTTCCACATCCAAGCTTGCATCTTAGCATCTGGCTCCGGAAGTTACGGAGAGAGAAACAGCTTTTACCCAGAAGTAGCTGGGCAGAACCAAAGGAGAATGATGGCTATCACGTAAGGTTCTCAGGCAGCGGTTCTCACTCAAGCTTTAGGTTGTTAAGTGTGTTAGTGGAGTTTGCTGTTCATATGATGAACTCAGTCCCGAATGGCCACTATTTCACCTACTGTGCATTTCACCTCCGTGGAATGAGGTGGCAGCCGCTGGTTTGTCTTGGAGCAAGATATATTTCAGAGGAATTCTGCTGTCAGAAAGCATCACCATCAACCATGAAACTGTGTATAGGGTCAGGTCTAGTTTCATTAATTCTTTGGCAGTTGTACCCGGATTCTAGAAAGAGGGTCTTGAGCCAAACTGACCCTGAGTCATTAGATGTTGGGGATCAACAGTTTGTAAGAAACTTTTGCTGGGAATCCTCTGAGAGGGGTAGAAACTCCCTGTCATCTCGTGCTGGAAGAGATAACGGTGCCCACTTCTGGAACTGTTCTCATCATGAGAGAGAGATCTGTGTAGAGAATGTTTGTGTGGAGGCCGGGGAGGGGTTGAGGCAGGGACTAATTGGATGTGGAGTTTACTGCAGCATTTTTGCTGCTCCTGCTAAGTCACTCAGATGTGACTCTTTGGGACCCTATGAAGCCCGCCACGCTCCTCTGTCCATGGGATTCTCCAGGCAAGAATACTGGGGTGGGTTGCCATGCCCTCCTCTAGGGGAGCTTCCTGACCCAGGAATGGAACCTGAGTCTCTTGCATCTTCTGCATTGGCAGGCAGGTTCTTAATCACTAGCACCACCTGGGAAGCCCATTTTTAGTGACATTTAATTCTGCTTGAGATGTCATCGCAGCAAGAATGTCTTTCTCTCTGGCTAAGAGACACTTTCATGCTACATAAAAAGACTAATTACCCAGAACAGACAACCCTTAGGAGAGGATCGTTTCTCTGTGATCCATCTGATTGGGTAGTTTTGAGGACAAATGAACTTTTTGTAAAAGGCCTTTCTAACCTCTAGGTCACAAAGGCTATACTAGTGTTTCTTGAATTCTGCCAAGCAAAGGGATCGCCTGGAGTGCTAGGTGTGGATTCCCGGAACTTTGTCTCCTGCCCTCCATCCAAGTTATTATTCAATAGTTTTAATTTTTGTTTTTTTTTCTTGGCCATGTCTCGTGGTTTGAGGGATTTTAGTTCTCCACCAGGGATCTAACCGGGGTCCTCAGTCGTGAGCTCTCATTGTCCTAATCACTGGACCATCATGGAGTTACCAAGATGATGATTCTTTAATTTCAAGGTGAGCTCCAGGTAACTGCCTCTTGATAAGATGGCCAGGTGATCTTAAAGTAGGTAGCTCAGAAGCACACTTTGGAAACCCTGTGAGTTTAGGTTTGATTGCTTTATTTCTTAGTTGTGTCATCACAGGCAAAAAGGAGTCCTAGCACTTTTATAGTTAGTTTCATTGTCTTTTAGTTATTTTATAAATTACTCACACAAAATTTTAATTCCAAGACTGTTTCTATCTTTTGACTTACCTGAGCCATGCTCCCCCATTATCCATGAGTGAATATACCCAGGGACTTCTTAAAATGATCGTATTTCTTAAGACTATTCATGTCTCAGATTTTCCCTAGGGTTTCACATTTTAAAAAGCATTTCACATGGACCCCAAACCTTATCAATAGAAAAAGTTTACCTGTATTATAGTGTGACTTCAAACACATAGATCTTGAAAATTGATTAAAAAAAAAAAACTAACAGTTACTTTCTTTGGTGTAAATCACCCTTATTTGCATCACGTATATCTCCATCCGATTCATGGTCTTAACTTCTGAGACCCTGGATCAGCACCAGAGCACCCTGTTCTTTATGGTGGTGGTTTAGTTGCTCAGTCGTGTCCGACTCTTTGCAGCCCCATAGCCTGTAGCCTGCCAGGCTCCTCTGTCCATGGGATTTTTTCAGGCAAGACTACTGGAGTGAGTTGCCATTTCCTTTCCCAGGGGGATCTTCCCAACCTAGGGATCGAACCCATGACTCTTGCATCACAGGCAGATTCTGTAACTACTGAGCCACTAGTGAAGCTCACCTTATTCTTTGGCCGTGCTTAAAAACAAAACAAAATAAACAAAACAAAACAAAAAGGAGAGGGAGGAAAGAAAGGATTTTGATGCTGTAGCTTGATAGCAGAGCGAGAGTAAACCAAAGGTGCATACTTGAGGACTGCTTGTTGGAAATGACAGATGACGACAGTTAGCTTGCCTGTTCTCTCATAGACTTCCTTTGACCCGGGTGATCAGGGTTGAGTTCAGGGATCTGGATTCCATTAACAGAATCAGTATCCCTCTGCAGTACCACACAGCCACTGGCCTGAAGAAGGTGCTATTTCCCAGGAAAAGGAGTGAAATCCCCCCAGAAATGCACAGGGCCCTCGTGTGAAGAGAATGTGCTGCTGACCCAGCCACACTCTGCATGCCCTGCCTGTCTCTGGTTCTGTTCTTTGAGATTTTTATCGCAGAGAGCTTTCAGCATCTCTTTTTAGAGGTCAGATCTGAATGAGAAGACATCGTGTGCCTTGCTGATCTTGTGACACAGTTTCTACCCCCGTCTGTAGCTTCCTATCTTTGCTGACGGGCGATGGGAGGGAATTTTCTCTTGGGGAGGCTGTTGAGAGGGCTCTGAAAATAAACACCGTGGTTGCTTGTGGGTGAGAACATGTGTGAGCAGATGTCAGCTGGTAGCAGTGTATGGTGGCGACGTGAGAGCAGCGTGTTTCTGAGGTCTGGGTTTTGGGCCTTCATCTTCTGGGACATTCAGGCCGGGCACCTCCCACATCTCAATTAAAGAGGGTTTTGACTGGCAGGTGTAATCCCCACAAGTGTGAAAATTGTGTCCCTGGGATCTTGTTAGGGGGCTGAATGTTGGAGGTGGTAAGTTATAGGGCATGGAAAAAAATTTTCTTTATCTGCTTTAGAATTGAGAGAGAAACATAAAAATCTGGCCAAAGAAAAGGGGAGGGGAGGGGGAAATCACAAGATCTGTATGTTTTGTCCAAAGAAATCTTCAAGTCAGTTATGAATAGTGGTCATGCTACTTTTAGACGACACGCCCTAGGTGAATGGAAGGTGGAAATGCTTGTTGGACGGCTTTAAATTAATATAAGGAGCTGGGATAGAAGTCTGTTCATTCAAATCTGGAAGACCGTTGGGAATTCACCTATCAAATATGTTAGATAATTGATATTATGATATCCCAGAGGACTTTTTATTTGTCAGTTTCTTTTAAATATCTCATTTCAATCTTTCACAAACCCTCAGGAATAGCATGATATCAGTTTCATTTTATAGCAACAGTGGCTTAGGTGCATCGAGGCATTTGTTCAAAGATTCCAGGAGACTGATGACAGAGCAGGAGTGTCCATCTACATCATCTCAATCTAAAGTCTGACATTTAGTACGCATACAAGGTCTTTAAAGAAAGCAGAGTTCAGAATTTCAGGATGTCAAAAAGTATCATGGAAGATGCATGTAATCCATTCCAAGGAGGCCTGGATTTTTAAATTGTCACTAAGTAGCCCTAAACCAGTATATACTTGAATTTTTGATCCCTGATGTAGGATTTTCATGTGTGAATTAGAAATGGTAACAGGTGGTTTTAAGAAAACTGACATCAAGGCCAACCGAATGAAAATCAGAGTTTTACTCTTAAGAGGGAGGCTGTCTTTTGTTCAAAAGGTCAGGGCCTTTCCTATTCATCTTTAATGTAAGTCAAGGTATTTATGTGACTGTTTCAGTATATAAATTGTACACTGTTATTTTAACACTAGCATGTGTTAAGGGGAAGGCTAAATTCAGGAGCCTGATTGCCAGTTACGCCAAAATGCCTGGGGTGAGAATTCACAATCCCCCAGAGTGCCTACCCTGTGGTCCCCTGGCCCTGAGCAGCGGGGCCCTTCTGTTTCTGGGGGAATGATAAATACATGCATTGAGTCCCTCTTCTGCATTGAATCTTTGTATAGCTCTGTATAGGCATCTCCTCAGTAAAATAGCTAATGACTGTGCTTTTTAAAACTCCTAGCTGTCTGCCCAGTTGTTACAACACCCTCTGGCTCAGTGGGCAGCTTGTGCTCCAGACAGTCCCAGGTTTTCTGTGGGTACCTTGGTGAGTACACTCATCTGCTTTATATACCTCATTTGACGTAGTGATAGCCGGTCCATCTGTAGTGTTTGTCTCCTGGGTGGGGGGGAACTTGTCAGAGGCAAAAGAGAATTCTGAAGTGCAGCCTCATAGCTGGACAGTCACACTGGTGCCCCCAATCTTGTAGTCAGAGTGTCTATCAGAAAAATATTCATGAATGCTTTGAAGTACTCTGATGACTTGATTGTAATATGGGGAAGGATGGATTGTGGGTCTATGAGACATGTGATCCAGGGCTTCCCAAGTGATTTGATGGATTGATCTCTTGACTCCCTGGGAGGATACTCTGTGGGGGGGATTGTATGGCCAGAATGTCAAGGGTTCTTTTCTTTGTTCTCTTATTTGAGCCTGTGTTCTTATTTCTGACACACAGCAGTGGCTCAATGAATGTTTCTGGCACTGAACTGGAAGCAAAGAAGGAGATTTTTCTCTCCTTTGAAGTTCTAGAGGGAGGACAGTGGGAAATGTATGCTGATCTTTGTTTGTGGCCTTCATACGGTCATTAATGGGTTGCATGAGAGAAGGGGCTGATCACGGTCAAGGCTTCAGTTGGCTGAACCTGAGAGCTTGCCACTGCGTCCTGACCCTCAGGGCAAGTGCAGGCCCCTCAGAGCCTAACCCCGTGTGATAGGCTGGGGTGGGGGGGAGGTCACCAAAGCCGGAGGGCTCACCCCTTTCTGATTTGGAACATTAATAAATCAGCCAGCTTTTATTGAGTGCAATCTTTTATCATCAGCTGAGCCATGAGACCAGAGCAAAGAACAGGTCTTATGTGATCGTGACACTCAAACACTCTGGCCCAGGTGGTACCCTGATCCATGCTCAGGAAGGCAGGAAGTGGACTTACTGTCCTGGCATTGGTTCCCTCTACACTTTTGAGGCCCCGAGGAAGCATGAATTATATGGATTCTAAATTCAAGTGGAGATCCCAAATAAGGACAGGAGAAATGTTTTTGTTTCCCAAATAGATGTCTGCACTCCCTGGGTTATCCTGATGTGCACTTTACCACGCCTAACCTTGAAAGTGTTAGTCACTCCATCATGCCCAACTCTTTGTAACCCCATGAACTGCAGCCCATCAGGCTCCTCTGTCCATGGGATTTTCCAGACAAGAATACTGGAGGGGATTGCCATTTCCTTCTCCAGAGGATCTTCCTGACCCAGGGGAAGATCTGGGTCTCCTGCACTGCAGGCAGATTCTTTACCAACTGAGCTACTAAGCTTGCTCTTTAGGAATCAAGGAATCAAGAAATGAAATAGTTTATTTACAGTGACCTAAGCTGGGCTTTCCTCAAAAACAAAACTAATTCCATTGAGAATGTATATTTATTTGCATACAGAATGCCTCAGAATGGCTAGAAGCTGCCATGTGAATAAAAAGAGTGAATGGCTTCAAACATGCTTAAGTTCCCATTTGTAAGGCAGATTGTATTTGGTTTTCCATCTCTAAATTTGTATTTTATTGTACTGTCTAAACCAAGGAGTTAATTGTCTGATTTTTGTTTGTTTGTTTGTTTTGTCAGCTTGTTGGAAAAGACGAGGGAAAGGGATGAGAGAAGGAAAACATGTGTTGAATTCCAGTCTCCCCACCCCGCCCCCACGTCCCTGGTACTGAAGGCATGTCATCCTTATCCTCCCCACGTTGGTTGGGTGGCGAGGGTGGGATGAAATCCCCATTTTTCAGGGAACTCTGGCTTGGAGAGGTGAATACCTTGTCCTCAGTCATCAAACTAGCAAAGGGAGGAGAGGCAAATTCTGAATTCAGGTCTGGCCCGCATGCCCTCCACCACCCCACAGAGACCCCAAACTTCTTTTTTTTTTTTTTTGCCTTCCTTTTGTTTCCCTTGGGAATCCCATCCCATTATTATTTCATAATTTCCTTACCTACCACTTTGGATTCATTTCCTTTTCATCTTTTCCTCATAGTCAACAAGTGGAGAGGTCTACCCTTCCACTTGGCCTCGGACACGCCTTCTCACTTGGGGTTATTTTCGGTCATTTAATGACTGCAAGCTTCCCCCTTTCTTTGGTGGAAAAACATTGGAAACCCACCCTGCCCCTCCTGAGTCTGGGAAAATCAGGAGTGTCTCAGAGGGTGTGGAGTCAAGGCTTCAGTTGGCTGAACCTGAGAGCTTGCCACTGCGTCCTGACCCTCAGGGCAAGTGCAGGCCCCTCAGAGCCTAACCCCGTGTGATAGGCTGGGGTGGGGGGGAGGTCACCAAAGCCGGAGGGCCCACCCCTTTCTGATTTGGAACATTAATAAATCAGCCAGCTTTTATTGAGTGCAATCTTTTATCATCAGCTGAGCCATGAGACCAGAGCAAAGAACAGGTCTTATGTGATCGTGACACTCAAACACTCTGGCCCAGGTGGTACCCTGATCCATGCTCAGGAAGGCAGGAAGTGGACTTACTGTCCTGGCATTGGTTCCCTCTACACTTTTGAGGCCCCGAGGAAGCATGAATTATATGGATTCTAAATTCAAGTGGAGATCCCAAATAAGGACAGGAGAAATGTTTTTGTTTCCCAAATAGATGTCTGCACTCCCTGGGTTATCCTGATGTGCACTTTACCACGCCTAACCTTGAAAGTGTTAGTCACTCCATCATGCCCAACTCTTTGTAACCCCATGAACTGCAGCCCATCAGGCTTCTCTGTCCATGGGATTTTCCAGACAAGAATACTGGAGGGGATTGCCATTTCCTTCTCCAGAGGATCTTCCTGACCCAGGGGAAGATCTGGGTCTCCTGCACTGCAGGCAGATTCTTTACCAACTGAGCTACTAAGCTTGCTCTTTAGGAATCAAGGAATCAAGAAATGAAATAGTTTATTTACAGTGACCTAAGCTGGGCTTTCCTCAAAAACAAAACTAATTCCATTGAGAATGTATATTTATTTGCATACAGAATGCCTCAGAATGGCTAGAAGCTGCCATGTGAATAAAAAGAGTGAATGGCTTCAAACATGCTTAAGTTCCCATTTGTAAGGCAGATTGTATTTGGTTTTCCATCTCTAAATTTGTATTTTATTGTACTGTCTAAACCAAGGAGTTAATTGTCTGATTTTTGTTTGTTTGTTTGTTTTGTCAGCTTGTTGGAAAAGACGAGGGAAAGGGATGAGAGAAGGAAAACATGTGTTGAATTCCAGTCTCCCCACCCCGCCCCCACGTCCCTGGTACTGAAGGCATGTCATCCTTATCCTCCCCACGTTGGTTGGGTGGCGAGGGTGGGATGAAATCCCCATTTTTCAGGGAACTCTGGCTTGGAGAGGTGAATACCTTGTCCTCAGTCATCAAACTAGCAAAGGGAGGAGAGGCAAATTCTGAATTCAGGTCTGGCCCGCATGCCCTCCACCACCCCACAGAGACCCCAAACTTCTTTTTTTTTTTTTTTGCCTTCCTTTTGTTTCCCTTGGGAATCCCATCCCATTATTATTTCATAATTTCCTTACCTACCACTTTGGATTCATTTCCTTTTCATCTTTTCCTCATAGTCAACAAGTGGAGAGGTCTACCCTTCCACTTGGCTTCGGACACGCCTTCTCACTTGGGGTTATTTTCGGTCATTTAATGGCTGCAAGCTTCCCCCTTTCTTTGGTGGAAAAACATTGGAAACCCACCCTGCCCCTCCTGAGTCTGGGAAAATCAGGAGTGTCTCAGAGGGTGTGGCCGGGGAAAGAGATCCCTGTTCAGTGGGAGGCCCTCCTGCCCCACCCAGCTTCCCGCCTGGGAGTCAAGCCTGCAGACCCTTCCAGACCTTCCATGCAAGACTGCTGAGCAGTGGGGCTCTGCGATTTTTTTTTTTTTTTTTTGGTCTCTGTTCTTAGAAATAGTAATTGAGTAAAAATGTAAGTGAGCCGATGCCAGGGGGCAGGCATCCAGGGTCAGGGTGAATTTCTCCATGCTGACTGTGATTCTGAACACTCGTTAAGTGGAGGCTGGCTGGTGCCAAGCGGCTTGAGGGTCATCCCTGTCACCTTGTGTGAACCGCCTCTCCATTCCAAGGAGATGCTGGGAGTGGCTGCAGGGAGTCGGGGCGGGGGGTGGTGGGGTGCCTCTGACTTTCCTCCCTCCCTCTCTAACCTGGGTGTAGTTATCACAACGTGTCCTGACACCTATGCTTGGACTGGCAGCGCTGATGCCTCCTCAGTTTTACATCAGATCCCCTGGAGGAAGACGTCGTCCTTGCTCCTCGAAGCCTATGTGGCTGCTGCATCATTTTTCCCCCCCTTTAAGTTCACTCTCCTCCAAAATGTAGGTTGAGATGAGCTTAGCCTGCCTGAAGATTTTTCTGCTAAGATAGATGAGTCCAGGAGATAAACAGTCTAGAGGGTCTCTCCAGGAAGGAATGGGTTAAGAGTCATGAAGGCAATTCCAGCTTTGTTCTTTTAGTATTTGCTGAATGTGATGCCTTTTGTTAGCATGGTTCAGATTTAAAGGTGGGCTTCTCAGAGCGTGGCCTGCATTTTTTTGTATCTTCCGAAGGGTCACCAGAAGCAGATTCCCGGACCTGTCTTGAGTCAGAGTCCCCGGGGTGGGTGGAACCGAGTCTGTACCTTTAAAAGGCAGTGCAGGTGCGCCTGCCCCCACTAGGCTGAGGCAGTGAAGGCTCCTATTCTGCCGGTCTGTTTACTCCAAGTCCTTCAGCCTGAAGGATTCAGATCTAGCAGGGCCTCTGTTTGATCAGCTGGTCCCGCAAGTGTGAGACCCGAATCCACAGCATGACCATGTTTTCACCTTGTGCTCTCCATGTCCCCAAATGCATACAATGATTGAGTTAGGTCCGTGGTTAATCATGCTGGTCACACATCACCCCTGCTTACCACTCATCACAGAGGGGCTGTGAATGTGCAGGCAGATGACCACGTGGCTGCGGGTGGAGGCCTCCTTGGGAGGTTATGCACGTGAGTGAATGCCTCCCTGTGAGGCTGGATTGGGCAGCGCAGTTTCAAAATAAATGTATAAT